ACACATTCACTTACCGAAAATCGGGGGCATCTGCTGTGGCAAATGGGTGCAAGCCTTTTACCACAAACTTAGTCACTGCTCGGTGACATTCGTCTATCCTGGCCTGAAAGGAGATGCTGGCGGTAGACTGCAGCGAGAACTGCCAGCATCTGAGCCAGCCAGACTCTGTCTGTCTCTCTCATCATGGTCACCTAAATGCAACGCACAGTAATGGCAGGTTTTGTAATGAGGCAGATCGCGCTAACATAATATGCACTGTTAGTTGATTATTTACCTGCCGCATTAACGGGAGAGGACGTGCAAACGTTACCGCTGCTGCTGGGTTGAGATTCACGAGTTTGGAGCGGAATTAAAACCACGACATTCATTTAAGGTTATCGTGTGTTTTGTGAGCAAATGCTTTTGCATATTCGTAGTGTTTCCTCCTATTTCTAAATGAAATATCTACTTTGCAAGTATTGCAAGTTGCCCTGTTGTCATCCGTTCTCGTAAAGTATAACCAAACTTTTGAGCATTTGATGATTCCTGCGCGGTGATTCCTGCCAGGTAAATGACGCTCCGCAACATGGTGACGTCATTCGGGGCGACTGGAATCAATAAGGGAATCGTTTGCTAAAATGGCAAACAATTCCAAGGAATTGAAACAGTGGTAACCAGTTCTCAACAAGAACCGGGTTTCGATACCCATCCCTATTAATGACTTGTTTGTAATTGTTCATTTGTCTGTGAAATACTTGTAAAACATTGTTTATATTTAAAAATGTATATTTATGGTATGTACTCAGTTTTCAGAACGAGTCATTCCACAGAAACAGCTTAATTCAATGAGGTCATTATTCAGTTAGTTTACCAGGTCAGGTTCTCAACCTGCTTTCATTAAAAGGAAACCCGACTATTATGACAAGGTACTCAAAATATGTTACAAATGATCTCCACTACACAAAAAACATACTTGAGAATAACAACATTTTTTTTTTTGTTATTCATTAAATCTTTGTTGTTTAAAACTATTTTGAAGCCGTTGGAGCGGCCATGTTTTTTCACACAAAATGCATTCTGGGACGATGACATTTATTGGTTGTCCGCAGTAAAAGTGCTTTCGTTCAGCTAACCTGTTTTGTTTTTTAAAGTGTATCAACTGTATTAATTAACTTGCCTATTAGTGACCTGGTTATGACTTGGTAGACCAGCACTATCCAGTCTTTAGGTCTGATGTCATTAGCCATGTCTGGGCCCAAACTCTGGTGCAGGTCCCAAAGTCAAATGACCACTGCAGCCTTACTGAGAGCTGAAAAACTGTCTAAATTCTTTCATCATCAATAAAAAGATCAGTGTGGCTGCTCTACCAGGTGTAACAATTAAGTTTAACATCCATGAACACGGAATTTATGACATTTAACTAAGTTAGAAGTTACCGAGGAGTTAACTCACTTGCTTCCATCTAAATACAATAAATGTTCTGATTGAGGGATTTGTGAACCAAATTAACAGCTCACTTTATCACTTCCAACATAAATGATGAAAGGAAAGTAAACATCAGCAACTGGTATACAGACATGGAAAAAATTGTTGGTACCCTTTGGTCAATGAAAGAAAAACTCACAATGGTCACAGAAATAACTTTAATCTGACAAAAGTAATAATAAATAAAAATTCTATAAATCTTAACCAGTTAAAGTCAGATATTGCTTTTCAACTATGCTTCAACTGAATTATTTAAAAAAAAAAATGCATGAAACAGGCCAAGACAAAAATGATGGTTCCCACAACTTAATATTTTGCAGCACAACCTTTTGACTCAATCACTGCAATCAAACGATTCCTGTA